ATATCCGATCCAGTAATTTACGTCAGTATCAGACCGATATCGATCGGATCGGTCCATCTCTAATCACAACAGCATGAAGTTTATTAAAATCTGCAGTTTTGATGCTTAATGATCCAGAAACATGTAAAATATCCGAGGTGAGCAGCATTCAAATACACTGTGAGGAGTAACTGTCGCACGTGTGCACATCAAAGTTGAACAGGTGCCTAAAAACAGAATACTCGAGTAAATGTTGGATACTTGGTTACTTCAGACGTTCAGTAGCTGATTGGAGCTCTGTGTGTGTTTCTGTTTAGTGGACCCGTCTACAGACGGGCGGCGGTGGTGAGAGTAAAGTCAGGTAACACACTCGATGCTACGCCCCCTGCTGTGTGTTGACACCATACGCTGTCAATAGGAACATTACCCAGGAGGGCCGCTCGGCCCATTGGGCCCCACTGATGGATTACTGCCATAAGCAGACAGCTGGGAGCCCGAGCAGCTCTACTATATCAAGGTTTTACCTAGTAGATGAGGTGATTTACTCCTGAAAGCCATCAATCATACGGGGAGGGCTCGTAGGCAAGACGCACCTAATTTTCCATCCGGGCACAGCCGAGGGGGGAATGACACCGTGTGGCGATCCCAGTTTGTTTTAGCAAAGACGATTCCAGTTTAATATGGGACTGAACTTCCTCCAGGACCCTGTTATGACACCGGACTAACACTTTGCTCCGAGTCCAGCTGACCAGCGATACTCGGGCTTGTCCGTCAGCCGCGGTCCCCTGACATCAGTGGCGCTGTGGGACCGTAATGAGGAAACAAATGGGGCAAAATGGGCTCTAAATAAAACATGGGGTTGGAAATAGAAAGTGGAGTCAGGTGTCCTTGAGAGAGTGACAGCTCCCCCCACCAAACACACACCCCTGCCTTTTTTGCATCCCCGAGCGGAAGCCTAAATGACTTTTCCCGACACGCATTGAGCGTTCCCGAGCTTTCCGCGCTCTGCCGCCCGGAACATGCAGGCATCAGTAAACAATGAAATCTGTGGGCTGAAATTGAATTTATAACCACATTACCTGCACAGATAACGTCTGTGAATGGCGCCGCGATAAGAGCAATGGGATTTGATTTTCAGGTGTTTTATTGGTCCACTTTTTGGATAAGCCCCCCCTCATCTTACTACACCCCC